TCTATAAAACGTTCTGATAGCTTCTGATAGTTAGAAATAACATGCCAATCCCACTTGTCGGCGTATTTGTCGATAAACTGCTCTGATAGTTTTTGATAATAGGCCAATACATTAAAATCAAGTTTTTGAATGTGGCGCTCAAGCATGTCTTCTGGTAAAAGTACACGTTTTGAAACTGTGGAAAAATCCAAATGCTCTTCAAAAGCATTAATTACATCTATTGTTAAGTGAGCATTGTTAGACACCAAAGCCCAATCCATATGTTGTTTGTACTTATTAACAAACGCAACGGTTAGTTTGGACTCAAAGGAAACCTTACTCCATTCAGCGCCATGTTGTGGCGAAGGCATGGTTTCAGGTTCAGCACATTGCGCATTTATTTTTTTAACGCCTATTTTGGGGAATTGAATAATCCCATTTTTAGAATCTTCTTTATTGAACTTATGCTCCAAATCTTGATTACGCATGTTTTCCTCAAAAAACATTGGGTTGAATATTCTTGGATAATACATCAAAACCCAGAAAAGCACTTAAATTAAAGACTATTTGGGGCAAAAAAGACCAGAGATATTGTTACATATAATAAAATAATTCTGGCAGCAATCATGTAGCTCGTAAATTATGAGGTGAAATATTGACATACTCCCACCACTAAACTGAAAGTTATAGCAGGGGAATCTTAGCGACCCATGCAATCAAATTAAAGCGCCCTAATTGCTTTCAATACTGGGGTATGATGACTTATTTGATATAAAATAAAGATGTGTTTAAAATAATGCATTATAATTGACATGTATAGTGCCATTTGATAAAATGTCCTCAATTATTAAGAGATATTTTAAAATGGACAATACTGTTACAGAAATCCGTTTTGTTGGCGAAGCGTTATTTGGTACGCATTGGATTGTTGGACTTCAAGAGCTTACAAATTACCCTCGTTCTACCATTCAGTCTTGGGATGAGCGAAACAACTTAATTTTAGATGTGAAACCAGGGCTATTGACCTTGGTTGAAAAGTCGATTGAAGTACTCACGAATATTTTACATCGTAAATCGTTTGAATCGACTGAAAATGAAAATGTTGCAAAGATTGTAGGTGATGCGCTTTTCAATAAACGTTGGGCTAAACAATTTATTGAAATATTCAATGCAGACCCGGAAGTGTACAGTATTTCACGCTATCGTTCTGGTGTTTTAATTAATGGTACTGCAAGCTTCACATTACAAGAAGTTGAAATTTTATGTTCGTTTATTAGAAAACGTTTAACAAAACTACACTTAATCAAATCGTATCTCGAACCAAGTGCAAACTTAATTCACTATCGTATTCATGCTTTTATGCAAACGGATGAATTTAAGAACTTACACACAAATCCATTGCAAGCAGGCGAGTACTACGTTATCGAACCTTACTTTTGTTTTGATAAATATCAAAACAAAATTTACGATGCTGAAATCCGGGTTATTTCAGAGAACAAGTTTGGCCGTGCAATTGAATTAGGTGCCAATGCTGAGCGTATTAGTGAATTCAAAGCAAAAATTCAAGAGGTTTATGACTCAACAATTTTAGAGGCACTATCCAATTATAAATTTGATAAAAACATAGATCAGTACATTGTATACAATGATGACTTTGTTGCGGCAAATAACCTAGCATTGGAAATTGCAAACCCCCTTTAAAATGTCTTCCAAAGGGGGTGATTATTTTACAGAATGGCTTTACCGTATTTGTATTCGGTGATCATGTTGTCATCGGTAATTATTTCTGGTGTACGATTGCTAATCTCGCTAAAGTTGATTGATTCATATGGAATGAGGTGTGATTTATTAATAATTCTAAATGCCTCATTACACGAGCTTTCGTTATCGAAAATCAACTTTTTACTTTTTGAGTCTCGTAGGTTGCAAAGTCTTTTTTTCACTGCTGCAGGATCAAACACAATGGGTTTTAAACTGCCTACTGACATTGAGAACGCATCATGTAGGTAAGAGTATGGGAACACCTCTTTTGTTGTTCTGAATACATCTATCGATCTTGTAGCATTGAAGTAGAAAAGTGCATCTTTAGACATGACGGATTTTATTAGGCTGTTAAATTCTAAACTTAACAAATTGCTTGAATAATTTCTCCAATGCCAAGTGGTGTTTGCCACTACCATATCAAACTTCATTTCATCTTTATGCTTGTTTAACCACTTTCTTCCATCATCATAAATAATTTCAACCTTTGGGTCGGATAAAACGCTAGAAATATTTGGAACTGTTTCGATAACTTCCTTATAGGCAGGGTTAATCTCGACAACTGTTATTTTTTCCAAAGTTGGTATATCAGATAGCACTTTAAGCCACGCGCCAGAACTCATCCCAATAACAAGAATGTTTTTGATATCTGGTTTTATTGAAGCAAGGTAATAAGCTCTATCAATACCATTCGTGTCATTAAACAGGTTTGTGTTTAACCGACCATCGTAAGCGTTATTACCATAGATGATAGAGGTGTTGGCATTAGGTTCCTTGGCTACATATTCTTGCACTATGCCATGTGTATTCTCAATTATTCTGATCGGCGGAGTGTTGGGATAAGGAGAATTTGATGCAAGCTGTTCGATTAAATCAAAAGGCTTAATTAATAAAACCCAAATGAAGATTGCAAGGCTTCCTGCATACCAAAAGACACCGTTTAATTTCACATTTTTCGTCTGGGAGATAACACACAATGCCGAAACGAGTAGTGTAAATCCAACTATGAGTAAGTAAACATCTTGAGTGGTAAAATAGTTTAATAAGACAAAGCTGACTATAAGGGGAGCAACCGCACTGCCAAAAACATTTGAGAAATAGACGTTGGAAATCTCTCTCCCCGTTTTAGCTTTATTGGCACCCAAATGGTGAACCAACGGAAAAACTATTCCTCTAATAGAAGCGCTACCAAATAAGAGGAGGCCATAAAAGAATAGATAGTGTTCTGAATCGGCAGACAGATATGCGAGATATATTATTAAGAGATCAACTAAAGCGGAAAAAAAGTAAATTACCCCAATTGTTCCTGCACTAACATTGTTCAATTTCTCACAGAGTTTTTTGCCGATTAGAGCACCAACAGCAATACCCAACAGAAAGATCGCTAATGTAAATGAAAATGCCTGGGGTGCGGACATATTCGCAAAAGAAATGATACGAACCCAGACCATTTCTAAAGCTAAACATGTAAATCCACTAAAAAATGAAATGAAATAAAGAAATTGTGTTTTTATGACGGAGTTAAGCATGCTTTGAACCTTTCTTTACGCCGATATAGATGAAATATGCAAAAATAGAAACAATTAAATTGATCAATGCTGCTATGTGTATTGCTTCACTAAGTTTGAGGTAAGTAAACAAAATAAACCCTGTTGCAATACAGCCAAATACAGCACCCAAGGTATTAATAAAATAAAGTTTTCCGATGGAGCTGCCAATATTCTTAACTATTGAATTTATAAAAGAAGTTAGAAGGGGTAATGTTGAACCCATTAAAAATGTTGGTGGTAATAGAAATAAAAAAATGCCTAATGAAGTCACATATATGTTTGAGTGAATTAATACATCTTGCAAATATAAAATTGCAGGCCGACTTAAGAAGCCGTAGATAGAGATGAACAATTCTAGCAGGCAAAAGATTAGTAGAATATGTTTTGGGTTTCGATCAGCAATTCGACCACCATAGAAAGCTCCGATTCCCAATCCTGCCATAAATGCTGAAACAGTAATTGTAATAGAGGTTAAATCAATCCCGAAACTCAAAAAGAGAAGTCTTTGCCAAGAGACTTGATAGATTAATGCGCTAATACCAGAGAGGAAAAATATTCCCGATACATTTCCAACAAGATGTCTTTCAATTTTATTCATCGGACTTATCATAAATAAAAAAATTATAACAACCTATTACTGGAAATTTCTAAATCGTTGAGAAATACACTTAAATTTATAGTTGAAAAAGAAAAACGTCTTGATAATTATTTTTAGTATTTCAGAAAATATGAAGCCACCCGTAGGTGGCCTCATTCTATACAAACTTTTAAATCAGAGATATATCCTAATTTAAGGTGCCTAAATGTGGTTTAGACAAAGATATCTTAACGTAATTGGTATTGGCAAACAAGATCTTAATAAAATGGCTCTAAAATCAGGAAAATAAGAATTTTTTTTTATCAGGTGATATGATCGCTTTGTTTTTAAGTACAAACCAAGGAAATGTAATGAAAAAAACCATTCTAGTAGCTATTTTGGGCGCTATGGCATCTGCAACAACTTTTGCGGGATCAAGTGTAACGGATTTGTCTAATCCAAAGCCTTACATTGGTCTTGACTACACATATCTATCTGATGTTCAAGGTGCGTTAAAATCAACTTACGATTCAGAAGTTGTTGAAGCACTTGTAGACAACTACACGAACCAGGTTTCATTAGTGGCAGGTGTTCAGTTGAATGACTATATCGGCTTAGAAACAACTCTTGGTAAAAATATTAAAGATATTTCAAAAATCGATGGCATCAAACTAAGCTTGCAGACGGCTACATTGGCTGTTACAGGTCAATACCCAATGTATGATCGCTTCTACGCAAAGGGTGCTGTAGGGCAGGCGTGGAATCGTTTTGAAGTTAAAGTCGATGGTGAAAAAGGTCACGATTCAATTGATAAGTTTTTTGCAAAAGCGGGTGTTGGCTACCAATGGACTGCTAATTCAGTAACCGAAGGCACATATGTTTACAACGGTGGAATGGATGGTTTTAGTTTGCAATATAAATATGTCTTTTAACAACATTTATAAAAACCACTAATTAGTGGTTTTTTTTTGAATAAATTAATTTCAAATTTAATTAGAAAAATCCATTTACCCGCTATACATATTATATATAGTGCGTTATAATAAACACATCAGAAGATAACGTTGAACTAAGGAAAAATTATGAACTTTAAATTTGGTAAGTCTCCACTTGCACTAGCTATCGTTACAGCTATGCTTGTTGGTTGTGGCGGTGGTGGGTCTTCTTCAAAACCATCAACTTCAACACCTCCGACCAATCCAACCGATCCCACCGATCCCACTACACCAACTGATCCTACTACCCCAGTTGAAAAAGAGCCATCAGTAGTTGATACAAATACGACTGTTGCAAAGGTAAAAGTTGGGGTGCTTGATAGTGGTGTTGTTGAAACAGAAAGCCTAAAGGGTTCTATTTCCTCAATCAAAAAGTATTCATTTAATACTGCAACCGGCGAAGTTACTGTCACTGATCTATCTAATGCTTCTGCTAAGCTGCAGGACAATGGTAATGGCATGCATGGCACGTTTGTATCAACTATAATTGCAGGATCAAGTGTAAATGGTTCTGCCGAGGGAGTTGCCAACGGTGTAGCTGAAATTTATGCAGCTCAAACAACCGAAAATGGTATTGGTACTTCTTATACAAAAACGTTCTTTTTTGCCGCCAATGATCAAATGATGAAAAATGGTGTCAAGTTATTCAATATTTCTTCTGGTTCAAACTGGAACTTAACTGACGAAGAAATGATTGGTGTTATCAATCAATCGGGTGCCTTGGACGTAGTTAAGAATGGTGGCTTGTTGGTTTTCTCTTCGGGTAATGAAGGGCTTAATGAGCCATCATCTTTAGCATTATTCCCTAAATTTAATGCTGAACTCGAAAAAGGATGGCTTGTTGTTACGGGATTAAATGAAGATCACACGGCTCTATACCGAGATAATAGTGGTGAAGGCGCTAACGCATGTGGTGCGGCTGCAAAATGGTGTCTTGCTGCTGATTACGTAAACAGCAACCTATCAAACACTGCTCTAAGTGACTATTTATATTCGTTTCATGGAACATCTGGCGCAGCGCCTCAAGTAACGGGTACGGCTGCATTGGTATGGTCTAACTATCCTTGGATGACAGCAGATCAGGTTCGTCAAACTTTATTGACAACTGCTGATTACATGGACGATGGTAGTGTTAATAATGGTCTATACAATGAAACCTACGGTTGGGGTTACTTCAACAAAGACAAAGCTGTAAATGGCGTTGGAATGTTTACCAAAGAGTTTGGTAACTTTGATGCGAACGTAACTGATGGTTATGTTGGTGTTTTTTCTAATGACATTAAAGGCGATGCCGGTTTAATTAAAAACGGTAATGGTCGTCTGGTGCTTTCAGGTGAAAACTCATATACAGGTGATACGACTGTTAATTCGGGCGTTTTAAAGGTATCTGGTGATACATCTAGTTCAGTATTTACGGTTAATGGTGGTGGTACATTACTTGGCGGTAATGGCACAACTGGATCAGTAAACAACTATGGCAACGTCTCAACAGGTGAGGGTACTTTAGCGGTCAAAGGTGACTATACCCAATCTAAAGATGCGTCTCTAACCTATAAAGTTGGTAATGAACTTACTGTCTCTGGTAAAGCGAACATCGATGGTGCTCTAAACGTGACAGCAACCGCTGCTAAATATGTTCAAACAGGCACCCATACGGTACTAAATGCTGATGGTGGATTAACAGGCCAATTCTCGGAAGTAAACACTAAGAGCGCATTCTTGACTGTAGGTAATACGGCTTATGATTCAAACAATGTGTATACCGATGTTGGTTTAAAGTCTGCTTCTGAGACCGCATCGATTAAAGGTGGTGTAAGTACTGCTTCTGCTCAATTGACCGATAAACTTCTTGCTAAAGCTGATGAATTGTATAAATCCGGTGATACTAGCAATAATTTGGTGAATTATGCAGCCCAATTGCAAGCGATTACCACTGCTGACGGCGTACAGGCTGTCTTGAACAGTAACTCAGGTTCAATCTTTGCTGAAACATCTTCGGTATTACTTAAAAACCAAAGTTTGGCAAATGGTTCGATTGTTCGTCATCTAAGTGATGCCGGCTTAGATGCTAGTGGTGTTTGGGTGGACTACACAGCATTAACAACCAAAAATGGTGCAAGCGGTTGGGATTCGGTTGATTCGGATGTTTACTCTACAAGTGTTGGTGTTGATTTCACACTGAATGATAATGCTTTAATTGGTGGCTATGTATCGCAACTTAAAGATAAGTCTGAATACAGTTTGAATGCCAATAAAGCTGAAACTGACCTTACTGGCTTTGGTGTGTATGGTAAGTATTTATTCAGTGATGCTTATATGCTTGGGACACTCCATTACGGTTTAGGTGATACTGAATACAGCCGCAATGTGAACTCTGGTTTAAGCACTGAGCAGTCGGTAATTAAATCTGATACTTCTGTTTTAAATTCTTATGTTGAAGCGGGTCGAAACTTCAATATGAAAACTGGTTCAGGCTCTTTAGATGTAACGCCTTTCTTTGCTGCTTCATATGCAAGCGTTAAGACTGATGGATTATCTGAGCGTTTAACGACTGGCTTAAAGGTTAGTGATTCTGACGCAGAAGAGTTTGGATTGCATGCAGGCTTACGCTTAACAAACACCTTCTCTAATGGCTTTACTTTGGGTGGTTTTGCTCAATACACTAATATCGTAGATCGTGACTTATCTAAAGTATCGGTGGCATCAAACTTAGATAATGATATCTCTGTTGATTTCACACCGCCTGATTTTGATAAAGACTATTTCATTTATGGTCTAAATGCGAAATACGAAACACCAATGAGTAAATGGGTGTTGTTCGGTAATGCTTTTGCAGTTTCAGACGATGATAGCGGCTACTTAGGTCAAGTGGGCTTTAAGTACAACTTCTAATCATAGAAACCACTAAAAAGAACTGCGTTTAAAACGCAGTTCTTTTATTTTAATTATCGGAAGATATTGATTTTTATAAGCTCTAACCGTATAATATATAATATACATTCTTAATTGTGGAGTCTTAAAAATGACTACAAAACTAGGTACAGACCCAAGTAAAAAAGAAGATAAAAAATACATCAGTGTTGCGGGTTATATGTGCAGGCCTGGAAGTGAGCGCATTGAAATTGGCGACTCTATTATTTTTGCTAGTGATACCCATCAAACAGTTTTTGCTTATAAGCGCGGATATAAAACACCTGTCGTCTCTTTCTATAGTGAATCTTTGGGGGATTATCGCGCAAAAGTATCTAGCTTAATTGCAGTGGCTAAACAGGCTGAAAGTCAAAAATTGGCTTCGAAAGCAAGTCATACTTTATGCAAAGGCACGGTAATGGTTTGTCATACCAATATTAAAAATCCCGCAGAAGATACGGTTCGGTTCTTCCAAGTGGAAGACATTCTACCATGTGGCGAAGTTTCATTTTATGAGATTCTTGCCGATACAATCGCATTCACTGGCTGCAAGCAATCAATTCCACTGGTAGGGATGAAAGTTGGAGCTTTACAACAGAGCACAGTTTTAGTGGATTCAATTTCAATTGATGGAAATCTAATTGGAACTAAGCTTGCTTACCAGTCAATTAATTTGGATGGCGTAGAATTGAAAGTTTATGAGCCGCAATTTCATTCATTATTTGCGTAATTTACTTACTACAACCTTACTTGCTGAAATACTTTTAATAAATTGGGGATTCTTTTGAAGCGCAACTTTATTCTTGTAGCTGCCATATTGATGACTACAACGCAGGTAAATGCTAATGCCTTGAATGGTTGCCTGTCGCATTTTCTTAAGGGCAAACCCCCAACAGTAGTTAAGTCTTCTAAAATTACGAGTGCTTATACAGAAATCTGTTTTTCAACTTTTGCTGTTAATTACTCGCATTTAACCAAGGCACCAAATTGGTCAGCAGAATTTGTTACCCCCCAAGGCTTGGCTCTAGCTAGAGGTATGAAACGTGAAGATAACTTTCATGAAGAATCTAGAATTCCAGAAAAGTACCGTTCGCTATTAAGTGACTTCCGCAAATCTGGATATGACCGTGGGCACCTTTCGCCAAATGGCAATAGAATCAATAAGATAGATCAGTACGAAAGTTTCTCTTTGGCTAATATCATCCCGCAATCTTCACACGCAAATCAGAACGGATGGAGAGAAATTGAGGAAAGTGTACGGACTTTAGTTACAAAGCACAGACAGCCTGTATACATCATCACTGGAACGTTATATTTAGACTCTAAAAACCAGAGGAAAATTGGCAAAAGTAAGGTTTACGTTCCCTCGCATACATATAAAGCAGTATATTTTCCTAATAGCAAGATTGCCAGTGCATATGTAATGGTGAATGACGACACACAACAAAAAGATGTGGTTTCAATTTCTCAACTACAAAGCTACACAGGAATTGTCTTATTTCCTTCCCTTATAAACGACTATGCTTCGTCTAGACGTTACGATTTGCCTTATAGTGCTAATGCGGCTTATAAACTAAAAACAATCAATATTTCTAATGTCCAAACAAGCACAATATTTTCAGTTATGCCGAATCAAGATGCTTTGCCACCTTTAAAGCCTATAAAAGAAATCAAGGAGCGGATAAGCCAGGTCTCTATACCCAAAATAGACAAGAATGCTATTAAGCGCGAAATCAAAATTTTAGATGGTATTTGGTAGACTAATCGCAAATTTCTTCAAAAAAACACGCTATTAATATTTTTATTTTGAACCTGTAGTAAGATTCAAAAAAATAGTTGGTTTTTATGATGAAGAATTCAGAAGGCTTTACTTTACTCGAACTTGTTATTGTTATTTTTATTGTTGGGGTTCTATCGTCTGTAGCGAAACCATACTACATAGAGTACCGGACTAAAGCAGAGCGTCAAAATGCTATAGCCGATATTTTATCAATTGCGGACTATCTTAAAGATTATCGAGCGGTAAATTCAACATATACGGGTGCTACACCACCCGTCATTGATAGTAATTTTTACACTGCTACTTATACGATAAATGCCAATACATTTGTCATCCAACAAACGCCTAAACAAGAAACTACACAAAAAGGCGATGGGGTCATTTGCTACAACCACCTAGGTCAAAAACTTTGGCGACTAGGAAATACAAGCTGTAATGGCTTATCAAAAGATTCGAACTGGTAGGGGCGGCAATGAATAAACATCAGGGTTACATCCTTTTAGAGTTGGTAATTACTTTAATTATTTTTGCTGTCTTAGCAGTAATGGCTGCTCCTATGGTTTCCTCAATTAAAGCTGAGACTGATTTAAATGACAGTACAGAGAGCCTAATCGCTGTTATCAAAAAAGCACAAGCAGATGCGCAGCTTGAACGCCGTGTAATAAAGGTAAATTTAAATACAAATAATGCTTCGTCTGATAGTGAATATACATGGTCTAGTACTGGTAATGCGAAGCTATATAAAAGCCCTGCAGAAAAAGCATTCTATTTTGGAGCAAATGGACGTTTGCAGCAGAGTCTAACAAGCACCACGCCTATTTCATTGGTAATCCTTGGGGTTTGCAACGGTAGTGGTAATACATTTTCTAGACAAATCACCATTAATTACCTGGGGGTAATTACTGATAAAGAGGTGGCTAATTGTGTTTAAACATAGTCAAAAAGGTCTAGGCCTATCAGAAATTGTAGTTTCTATGATGTTGCTATCAGTTGGTGCCGTAGCAGTTGTTGATATTCAGAAGAAAGCACAACAAACCACCGTACGCAGTGCAAATATTGCAATGGCATCAAACTTATCAAGTGATGTTATTGGTCGTATGATGCGAAATTACGACAACCTTGAAACATATAACACGGCGTTTAGCTCAGCTACAGAAACAGCTAAAGGTTCTGCGTATACATGCTATTCATCATTTTGTTCTGGTACGCAGCAAGCCTATTTTGATGCATACCAGGTATCTCTTATGGCAAATCAAAATAACATGAAGCTATACATGTCTACATGTCCCGGTGTAAGTAATAATAGAAAGTGTTTGGCTGTATATATGGAAGGTGCAACGGCAGCTAATGGAAGTGCCGCAATTACAGATTGCGTATCGGTATCATCAACCGGTGGATATACCTATAAGCGCAATGATTGTTTAGTTGTGGAGACAATCTGATGCTGAAATATGAAAAAGGTTTTACGTTGGTAGAATTGCTTGTGTCAACTTTGGTTGGTGCGACTTTATCAGCAACAGCAATTGGCCTGTATATGAACTCACAACGTGATTATCTCACTCAAAAAGGAATAAGTACGACCGTAGGTAAGGCAAATGATGGGCTTTCTTATATTGGTGAGAAAATTGCACGATCAAATGAAGACAAAAGTTTTGTTCAGCTAGTTTCAAATGTACAGGGTAGCGGCATTGTATTAAATGCTGCAGCTTTTGGTGCGGGTGTTTCTGTATTGAATGCAAACATGTCTCAATCTGAGACAGGGCATTCATATGCAACAGAGCGTAGCGATCAGCTTGTGATTCAATATTTACCTAAATTTATTAAAGGTTATGATTGTGAAGGGGTGAATATTGCTTCTGTATCAACGTATGTGGTGGAGAAATACTTTGTTAAGGTTAACCCGCAAGATTCAACGCAACTCTCCTTGGTTTGCGATGCCGGGAGATTCAAAAATGGTGTTTTTACGGGCTTGGATGGTCAAACAACAACCTTAATTAATAGTGTCGATTACTTCCGTGTGCTCCTGGGTGTGTCCCAATACGTTCCAAACCCTTCGGGGGGAGGCCAATATCAACATCGGAATATGACTATTGCCCAATATAATGCTGCAGCAACAAAATACCCAATTACTTCGGTTTCGTATGGGGTGTTATTGCACTCAGAAAATAGCATCGGACGTAATGACGTAATTAACAACCAGGCCACTTTCAGATTATTGGACAAAGATGTAAAGCTAAACACAAGTGCTGCAGCATCAATTAAAAACAATAATATCTACAAGACATTTGCTAGAACAGTAGCGGTTAATGATGGTATTGGGGGCGGAGAGTAATTCATGAATTATACGCAACAGAAAGGCTCGGTTATCATTGTTGTCATTATTGTTTTAATGTCTATTGTCGCTTTGAGTGGCATAGCACTTAAGGTTTCGCTAAATACTTCTGAAACTGCGGTAAATCAAGTTGCTAAGCAGATGTTGGAGAACTCAGCAAACTCTGCAGTGATACGAATGAAGTCGTCAGGGTCAACGACAATAAGTGATTCCAATATAAACAGCGAAATTGGTTTTTGTTTAAATTCTAGTGAGTCAGTGCCATTTAATACCCAGAATTATACAAAAATAACACGTGTGGCTGCTCCCGTTATATCAACGACTGGTACTGGTGGAGCATGTAAGCTAGTAATTTCCGACAGCGCTAGTAAATTGGTTTCAACCTATATGACGATAATGCGTTCTTCGGACACACCTGCTACATTCACAAGCAATTTATATACAACAGGTACGGTATACCAGATTGTTGCAGTGTCATATTTAAATAAATATGCAACACAAGCAGGCTTGGATAGATGTCTAGGTAAATATTTGAATAGCCCAGTGTCATCAACGCAAATGACTGTTTCTCAGTGTTTGGATAATGAAAATATTCCAAATTCAGTAAAACAGTCAAAGTATATTAAGTTGTGAGGTTAGGGGATGAATAGCAAAGGATTTACACTAATTGAAGTCATGGTGGTTGCTGCGCTTATTGGTATTATGTCTGCCTATGCAGTGACCTCTTATAGTAAATATGCTTCCGAACAAAAAATGAATCTTGCAAAGGCCAAAATGCAAGAGCTACAAGTTGACCTGCAGAATTATAAGTTAACTAATTTGACGTATAAGGGTTTTGCGACTGAAAGTATAAATGTCTACCTCGGAGAA